ACCACACGTCCTTAGCTGTTTATTGTGGGGACCTTGGAGGGGCGGGAATTCAGCCAGAGGGTTGGGGTGATCCTAACCTGAGGCCTGTTCCAGCAGTGACCCAGGGAATCCAAAGGTAGGTCATCCGGGTCTTGGGAGCTGCAGAGGCCTGGATGGAGGAGAGGTTTGGCAAGAGGAGTCGGGGCTTGGCAGGAGAGCCTGGTCACAGGGCAGCCCTGGGGACACAAGGTGCATCCAGTACGGGGCTAGAGACAGGAGAAACTGCTTTTTCCCAACTGGCCCTGAGGGTCTGGTGTCAAAAAACCTGGAGGATTTCTTTGCCAGAGAAGGGTGTGGCAGAGAGCAGCTCATGGAGTGTGGTTGGGGGGTTGGGCTGAGTGGGGGGGGGGACACTGTGAGCTGAGTGTCCCAGAAAAAGCATAGCTGGGGGTAGGGGACAGCTGGGGAAAGTCTGGGTCTTTCCTATTCATGACCTGGATGCTCCATGAGCTCCCCCTTCAACCTGAAAACCCATGCCCTCTGTTCCGTGCAATTCCGTGTCCTGCATGAATTCTTTGGTCACTTGTACCCTTCCCTTCTTCTTTTCTCTCTTCTAGAACTCATGGTAGTAGGATGTGCCAACATTCTTTTTGTTTTCCCAAGTTTTTAATATTTTACCTCCTGATTTCTTTTTGTCCTACCTTGTAGATTTCCTTAAGTATGCATTCCAACCCTTTTGTTTCTTTTTTTAAATTTGTTCTCCTGTTCTTAACTTTCAAAGGTCCTTTCTGATCTGCTTCTTCCTGTTTTTATTGCTTCTACTGCTTTTTTATGGAAGCAAAATTTTCTCTCCTCTTCCCCCCAGAGGGTAATAATCACAGACTCATTTTTTTAAAATGTTATCTCTGAGATGAAAAGTTTCTGGAGATCCATTACACAACAGTGTGAATATAATTAACACTAATGAACTGTACACTGAAAAATGTTAAAATGGGCCGGCAATGGGTGGGGCACAGTGGTGCCCACCTGTAATCCCAGCGGTTTGGGAGGCTGAGGCAGGAGGATCCCAAGTTCAAAGTCAGCCTCAGCCACTTAGTGAGGTCCTAAGTAATTTAGTGAGACCCTGTCTCTAAAAAATATATATATATTAGAAAGGGCTGGGATGTGGCTCAGTGTTTAAGCACTCCAGGTTCAATTTCCAGTACAAAAAAAAAGTTAAGATGGTGAATTTTATGAATTTTTTTTTAACCACACACAAGAAAATGATCAATCTGCTTTCTGCATTGTCTGTCTGCCCTGTGTTTGTTGGTTTTGATCTCCACTTCCTGGAAACTCAGCATACCCAGGCAAGCCTCAAAGGCTGGAGCACCCCACCGTAGATGCAACTCTGAGCTGGCTTTTTCCTGGGGCTCCTTCCTCTATCTTTGGACTTTTATCTGTCATCTCCTGTCAGGAGGCACGTAGCTGCTGCCTGCGTTCCTGGAGCAGAGAGTGAAGGGGCTGGGACTCACCAAGCAAGCATGCAAGGTCCCTCTCTTCAAGGGTCTCTGTCTTGGTCCTCACTGTGCTTGTTGTCCCCAAATAGGAGCATCTGCACTGTAGTCCTCCATAGAGGCAGCCCCCCGCCTCTTCCCATTGGGGGAGTGGGAGACCATGGCTGTGTTGGGCTCTGAAAGTCTAACCCCACGTGCAGATTTTCAGCCAGTCCCCAAGTTTTCAGTTCAGGCTTCATTCCTACCAGACACTTCCGTGTCCGGAGGGGAGGTCCTGGGTGACAGTCAGCAGTGTCCCTCAGGGGCCCCTCGCAGGTTCCATCACTCAGCCAGACCCTCAGTGGAATTACCATCTTCAACCTCTTGCTTCATTTCCCACCTGCTATGGTCTCCTCTCCCTTTTCTGTCCTGGAGGGTCTATATTGCTCTTATTTCTTATTTCAGGGATTAGGGAGAAGGCGCAAATGTGTCAAGAATGGGACTTTTTACCATCTTGTGAGGTTACAAGTTGAAGGAATATTTGTAAAGACTAAAATGGACGGATATGAGGGAAATGACTGGAAATCAAATCCTGAGGTGACGAATAGGAGGCTCTTTATTATGTCCTGGTCCCTCCAACAACCAAAAGCAAGTCTTGCCCCAGACTCCCCACTCTGAACCACACAAGCGCAGGCAACCACGTTGGCCTGGGTGTCTTTGAACAGAGAGATGGAAAATGGAAGCAGGTTCAGAAAGTGAGGAAGGCACGATAGCTCTCTTTGGACTTAATGTCCTTCACCCCTCCGTGACCAAGTTTGAGCCTGGGGAAGTTACTAGAAAAGACCAGGGCCTGGCCCCTGGCCCCAGGGAGGAGGCCTGCTGTGGGGTAGACTTGCATTGGTTGTCCACTGCTTCCCAGGACTATTCCTCGAGGAAGGGGCAGAGGGTTGGGTCAGCCACCCAGCCATACTTGAAAGGGAAGGAGAGCCTGCAGTATAGTTTGCGGTTAGAATGTGGGAATGCTTCCAACTCTGGGCACTAGAACTTTCTAGCTATGTGATGGAGACATAACCTCTCTGAACCTCAGTTCTTTCTTCTATAAGATGGGAGTCTTACTGCCCACCTCTAGGGGTTGTTGAGGTGACCCTGCAGTCCCAAGAAATCACCTGTGGGGTTTTTAAGAGTGATACTAAAGACAGAAATCTCCCTGCACCGCTCACCTCTGTCCTCCATATTTCTTTCTACAGGATGGGAGAACAGCCCACTACTATTATGGAAGACTTACCAAAAGGGGTGAAGCCAGGGAAGAGACCCTTTAGCTTCCCTTGACAAAAGATGCCCTCACCTTCCTGATTTCTCACCCCTTGGGCTCTGTTCAGAGATCTCGAGAAGAAGTAGATTTGAGTGCCCCTACCAAGCTCTGCTTCCAGGTCTTTGGGTTCCAGTGTTCCAGCTCTGAGCCTATCCCGCAGCTCAGAGGGTAGCTGGAAACCCCTGTGGGTCAAGTAACATGCCTTTTGGAGCCCCCCCAATCTTCTCTCCACTTTCCCTCCAATCTGAAGAGCAGGTTCAGGGTTAGACTGGAGGGAGCCACATAAAACCAAAGATCCCTTTGGAAGGGGATAAATCCCACAGAGATCACCACCAAGATATGGGGCCAAGAACTGTAAAGTCAGAGCCTCACAAGTAGCAGTTCTGGGGCAAGAAGCACGGGACAGGCCACCGGCTCCCTGCTAGCTGTCTGTGGAAGCAGAGCCTCTGCGTCAGCCAGAACAGAGACCTGGGCTGTGGTGAGGGCTGACAGGCTTGGAATGTGTTTGGAGGGGCCCACACCACATGCAAGGACACGCAGGCGCACACATGGAAACATGCGCAGTGTCTGATGTTTACCCCTCTCACACACAGACAGGCCTGCTTGAGGACTCGATTGCCTGTCCTGCCTCCAAGGCCGCCATCTTCCTAAATTGAAGGCTACATGAGGAAGGAGTAGAAGGGGATCATAGAGACTTTTGTAAAACAGACTAAGAGCAATTGTGGAGACCCATCAGCCTCCACCTACCCAAGGCTCGGTTCCAGGGGGCTAGGAGAACTCCCCTATAGGTGCTGAGTTTATGATTTTTCTTCAGAAGGTACAGAGAGACACACCCCCGGCTGTTGGGGTTGAAATACCCTTCTGAATATCAGCAATGACACACTGTCACGACATGCTCCGACGTGAGCTCGCAGCAGTATGGGTAGTTTGAGAGATCCTGGAGGGCGGTTTCAAGGGTAAAGATGGGGGTGGGGCAGGTTGTCACGTTCCCTCGGCAGCCTATCTTGTTGCCATAGCAACACGGCTCTGCCTCCATCCTGTGGAGGCCTGGTTTCTGTAATGGGTAGAAAACTGTGGTGTTTCACGGTATGGGGGGCGGGGCCCATAATCCCCCTGGGAAAGAACATTTCCATCTCAGACCAAGCAGGATAGGGGGACCCTAGGAGCTGTCTTGTGGGTGTGAGGGCAGATTTCCTGGGGTTTTCCTAATGACAAGGTCTACTCTTTCCTAATGACAAGGTCTACTCTTTCCTACTGAAATTTCTCCTCCCTAGCTATTGGGCCCCCAGGATGTCCCAGGGGGTTGAATACCGTTTCTTGATCTGGACCACCATCTCAGAGAGGCACAGCAGAGTCTGGTGTCAGGAGAGCTATTAGGCTTGCCACTTGCTCGCTGTGTGCCTTGAGTGTGTGACTTATTTTTATGGATTTTAGGGTTCTGCATGTAAGGATGAACTAATACATGCCTCTCTCCCTGGGTGGTTTATGAGGATGAAGAGAAGTGACAGTGTAACATGGGATCCAGTCTGGCTTTCCTGGGGGAAGGTGGATGGCTGTGTCCACTGTTGGTGCTCCTTGTGTGGCCAAGCACCCCCTCAGAGGCCTGACTGTGGGGCTCAAGTGATATTTAACCCTTGGGGAACAGGTAGTGGTTGGCACTATTTTCCAGATCAAGCTGTCCAACTGGCTGAGGAAAAAGAGAAAGGTACTTAACTGGTCTACGGCTCCTACTCAGTGTATGGTTCTTGGCCCATGTCCCTCTGCAAAATGCTACCCAGTGCTACCCATCTGCAGAGGGGTGAGCCTAGGAATTACGAGAATGGCTTTAGAACGCTGGGTAGAAATTGGATATTGCTGAAACATGCAAGCAGCATTCAATTTGGGCTTCTCTTAAGTTGTTTAAAAATTGTTCAGGTTCCCAGTGGTTTTATTTATTTATTTATTTATTTATATGTGTTGTCTGAAAAGGACCGGGGAACCAGCAAACTGGTATTTCATCACATCTAGTTTGAGAAGCACTGACCTTGAGGACACCAGAGACATCTTAAAACCAGCCCAAGATGCTATTAAGGAGAACAACCTCATCAGCGCTGCCTGCACAAATCAGTGGCAAATCACAGCTCCTGAGTTGGCAGCATTACTTTTATTGCCTCAAGCAGAAGCTCAAGTCCCCCCTCCCCCCCTCCGCTTTGACTAGCGCACCCCACCCCCACCCCCACCCCCACCCCCACCCTCTGCATGCTCGGCCTCTAGTCGGGGTTTGAAGTTCACTGCCCGCACCTGCGCCCTGGGCCAGGTTCAGCGCCTCCCCGGCGGCTTCCAGGCGCTGTCTGCCGCTTGCCATAGCGCAGACCGAAAGAGTTCCAGTTGTAGGAGGACAGGTCCTTCTCCCGCTGCACCAGCACCGCGCCCCGGGGCGCGGGGATCAGGCGACTGCGCGGGGAGCATGGACCCATCACCTGGGGCCCCGCAGAGCTCTCGCCAGGGGGACACAGCGAGGCCCCCCGAGGGCTCGGCCCGGCTGGGACAGGCTTTCTCTCCGTGCACCGCAGGTCCTGCTCCCAGGGGTCCAGGGCCCTCAGAGGTCCCAGTCTCTGGCCTAGGACAGATAGTACAGGGTACAGAGAAGACAGGGAGGTAAGGCCAGGGGCCAGGAAATATGGCTTTGGAACGTCCCCTTAAAATCTCCATCCCATGCTTACTTTTGGTCCCTTGACAGCCAGGAAGCTCAGTGGTAATCACAGCGCAGAACCGCACACCAATCTCTTAGCTAGGGTGGTTAGACCATTTGCCCATCTCTCCTTCAACATGGCTTTGATTTCCAGTGTTTCCTAGATTATCTTAAATAACTTTTGTATGAATTTACTTTCCTTTAGGAAGTAAACTGGGTTGCGTTTGGAAATTAAGAAAACCAAAGTATCTGGGGAACATTCAGCTCTGCCCCTCTTCTGGCTCTGCCTGACATCTGGGTTGTTTCCATTTCTGGCTCCCCATTGGACTGGGACTCCTTGGAGTGGGTGGCAGCCAAGTTCATCCACCTATCCCCCCACCTTCTGCAAATGCTCAAAACAGTGCCTCACACATAATAGGTCCTCAATAAATCCTTGTTAAATATATAAAATATATAAAAGCTGCTTGGCACATGCCTGTAATCCTAGCTGCTCCGGAGGCTGAGGCGGGAGGATCACCAGTTCAAAGCCAGCCTCAGCAATAGCAAGGTGCTAAGCAACTCAGTGAGACCCTGTCTCTAAATAAAATTCAAAATAGGACTGGGGAATGTGGATCAGTGGACGAGTGCCCTTGAGTTCAATCCCCATTCCTCAGCCCTATTTTGTGCTTTATTTAGTTTTCTAATGAAAAACTTGTAACAAATTAAGAAAGTGAAACCAAGGCCATTGTGCCTCCACACACCTGTGATCCAACCCTGATCTCTGATAAAAGTATTTGTAACCCTCTATTAAGCTATATCAGGACTGATGAAGGCCAGAAATGACCTAGGTCACCTTAACTGGCTCACCTCCCTCACCCAGCAGTCATTTCTCCCCTTCACACTGAGGGTTAAAAAGGCTCATTTGGAGGGCACTTCACATGCAAGGCTCATTAAGTTCACTATACTTTTTGGCAGTAAAATAGGGCGGCCAGCTCTGAATAGACAATAAGTCAGCCAATTGTGCTAAGAGATTAGTGGAAAGGAGGCCTCCTCTGCGAGCGAGTGTGTGTTGGGGTGGGGGTTGGCTTTGTGCCTGGCTCCTCAATGCCCTGGCACACTTTGGAGGAGTCTGGACATGGTCCAGAGTTAATAATCATCTGTCTAGGAGGTCCCTCCCTCCTTGCTGAGGGTCAGACAAAGATGGGAGAGGGGATCTCAGTTATAGCCTCTAAGCCAGCAGGAGGACCACTGCTCGGGCCACTGTGTGTGTGGCCTCCCCTAAAGCCCTCTGCCAGAAACAGCCAAAGCCCATTCTCCGTAGGCAGTGGTGGGGTTATGATATCAAATGTGCAGTCTGCCCCGAGTTCCATAGCTGGGAACCGGAGAGGCTAAGTGGCAAGTTTGCCCAGAAAACTGACAACCAAGAAGTGTTCAATCTCATGTACCTGCCTTGGGGACTAGCACCGTGACAGCTCACGCCACTTAGCAGACACGCTCTGGGGGTGTGCTGGCACCTAGTGCTTCTGCAGGTGGGGAAGTCTCTTCCCTCTCCGGGCCTCAGTTTCCCCAACTCATCAGTTCCCTGGTGAACTCACGAGATTGACAGGTATTAAGGGTCTGTCTTGTGTTTAGACTCTTTTTTTCAAATCCCTTTATAAAGGATCTGGATTCACTGATAAGAGAAGCTTGAATATTAAGTTCTTTCCTAACATCCACCCAGAGAAGTAGTCTGTGTAAGCAGAGAACACTTTGAGAAAACCGTAAAGGAGCTTGGTGTCTAATGAGCACCTGAGCTAGGTGAGGCTCCTGATGCCTGTTACGGTGATAAACTCTCCCTCTTCTCTATGCAATGCACACGTGGCAATCTTAGAGGTCCATCAAATGCAGTGTTAAACTCCTATCGGTCGACTGGCTAAAATTGAAAAATACAGCCAACCTAATTCCTCAATGGCCTGCCTTTCCCCAGACGATGCATACCTATGGGTCTAGGATCATCCACAGGTGCCACCTTTGCCAGTGGGTCCCCGAAGGAGGTGGCACAGAGGAAAAGCAGTAGTGGCCAAGAAATCAGTGCCTTCATCCTGATGAGAAGAGGCAGGTCCTGGAAGCACGCTGAGGCTAAGACAGAGAGAGGGAACAGGACTAGGTCAGGTGCAGAATCTGGGCTAGTGCTGGGAGCAGAGGGGGCGCTTCCTGGAGGAGGATGGGTAGGGAGGAAGGAAGGATTCCGTTTGGTGGAAGGGGCAGGATTTCTCGGGTTGGAGAATGGCTAGGATTCTGAAGGTCAGGTTTGCTTGAGAGGAATGCTGGAGAGGGAAGGGGAGAGACGCAGCGTGGGAGCTGGCAGGGAAAGGAAGTGGGGCAAAGTCTTTAAAGCATTCTCTCTGGAACCTGGAGCATGTCGGCTCTGCACAAATCCAGCCCCGCCTGAGTTCCACTCTCCCCTTAGCATGTGTCTTCTTGAGCCTGGCCCTGTTCCGTCCTGCTTTAATAGAAACCCACTTCTTTATCATTTCTAGGAAAAAAGGAAGGAAGAGGCGAGAGAAGGGGGAGTCATCTTGCTCTCTCTCAGAGCCCTTCACAGTCTGAAAGACCATCATTAAATTCTTATTGCCTATAATTCAGGGATGAGAAAAGCCTTCCTCTGATTTATCAGGTCAATTGTCTCCACAGTCTATTCTCTGTGGGCTCTGAGAGGATATGGATTGAATTGGCCTCATCATTTTGGCTGCTGAGAAGGGAGATGTGCATCCTGACCCTCCTCCACCCCTCTTCCCTCCCCCGCCATCTTGCTCTGCCTGCTGCCCCCCGCCCCACTACTCCAGCCCCAAGTCCGGTTCCTCTTTGAAAAAGTCATCAGGCACTTTGATAGTATTCAATAAACAGGATTAAAGACAAACCTCTGAGGAGGCAGGGGGCACTGTGCACAGACCTAAAGACTAGTGCCTCTGTCCATGGGGGAGGCAGGGGATCATTTGTGATCATCATCTCCTAATGTCTACCCAGCTCATACCTCCCTTGCAATTGCCACTTCCTGTCTCCTCCCTGATGCAGGACTCAGGCATGGTGTGCAGGATAAGAATCCTGCCATGGGAACACTACTCCAACCTGGCCTCAGCTCTGCCCTTGCTTCACAAACCCTGAGCAAGTCACCCCCTACCAGGCCTCATCAGTCAGTCTGTAAAATGGGAGCATTTGGTCAGACTTCTCACAGCTGCCCACATAGATGGTTATTTGTCCTTGCAGGCTTTGATTCTGTGACACCTTGAAACTCAGACTGGAGCTTTCTGCGCCTGCCTTAAGGCCTGGGGTGGGATGTGGAATAGAAGCAGGTTTAACCCACTAGAGAGAATGCTGTAGAAGCGGGTCAGACCTTGGACATGCAGGGTCCTGGTTGGTTTGGAAGGCTTCCTTGAGCACCACTGAGGAGCTGGTGCTGTGCTAGGTGCTGGAGTTGCACAGACAGGCTGACGCAGGGTTGCCGCCTGCCCCCAAGATCTCAAGTCCAGCACGGGAAATTGACTCCTGAGCAGATCATTTCAAAATAACACTGTGAATGACACGCTGGGCGCATGTGAGTACCCGGGGTCTACGGGAGCTGGGGAAGCCTAACTTGGAGGGTCCAGACAGGCTTTAAGGATGGTGCCTAGTCAACCAGAAGAAAGGAGGTCTGCAGAAGGCAATCCCTGCAGGGCGCTGCCGGGGCGATGGTGCTAGGGGCACTGGAGTGATAGGCGGGTCTGGGTGCGCAGCACACTGTGGGTTCTCCGGGAGGACAAGAGGAAGAGCTCCTGGGGAGAAAGAACCCTGAAGGCTTCATTCTGGAGGGTCGGAGTCAGGCAGGAGTGTGTGCTGATGTGCGCTACAGATGGAACATCTGGCCACTGTGCAGAAGCAGGATGGTGAGCGACAGAGGGCAGGTGGGCAGGCTGGGTGGTTGGAGGGTGGTGACCTGCTTTGTCCCCTCCCACTGGAGTTAACCCCATTCATTGTGGACAGCATTTACCATGTGCACCATGGAGGAACTCTGCCCACACCAACACTCACAGACACGCACACCACACAAACATACACACAGCACTACCCTACATATGCACACCTATGTATATTCCACTCTCCCCCATACCACGGTATGTGTATGCTATTCATCACATACACACACGTACCACACACATCACATATGCTCCCCACACACCATACACACACGTCCCACACCACATACACAAACCCACATATCACGAACACCTCACACACATATATATACCAGTTTGTATTGGGGGGAACTGCTCTGAGGAGCCCCATTGAGCCCATGAGCCCTAAAGGGTTCCCCCAGCTCCCTCTAGAAGCTTCTGCAACCTCAAATCCCAGCCACAGATGGTTTCTTCATTATATGTCATGTGCAGCAAGAAAGAACTCTTGGGATCCCCAGGGTCCTGGCTTCAGGAACAAAATACAAGTCAATGTATTCACCCAGGCATTTCAGAGTAGTCTGGCCAAGTTGGCCATCGGGAAAGATCAGTGTTCCCCATCTTTTCATCTACCTGTCTGAGGGCAGAGACACACACACCAGCCCCTGTCCTACCGTCTGGGAACTAACCCCCTGCCCACTCCAGAGCCTCCCCTAGTGTGACGCACAGGGCACCTACCTTGGCTCTTCCTGGCCCAGGCGAGATCCACTGGGTCTCTGAGGAGAGGAGAGGAGACGAGAGGAGGCTGCCTGGGTGGGCGAGCACCGGCAGGAGGGGAGCTGGGCTCCTTAGCTGCCTCTCACCAGCTCCTCAGTCGGTCCCCTTTTATAAAGCCCAGGTGACGTCTTCAGCCCACCTCTGCCTCCCTCACCCCCTCCCCAGACCCTCTTCAGAGAGCTCAGCTCCTTGCTGGCGGCCTCCCCCTGGGCTCTCAGGCCTGGAGTCAGCCTCTTCCGCCCCCACAGAAGCCCTCCAAGGTTGACTCTAATTCTCACTAGTTCTTTTTGTCCTCCACCTCTTCCTGCCCTGGCCCCCTCAGCTGGGGACCCATTCCGTCCCAAACAATGAGGAGAGGACTGTTGGAGGAGTGTGAGTGTGTGCATGTGAAATGTCTTGTTCCCTCTCCCACGAGAGCCACAGACACACCCAGTCTGAAGTGAATGCAGCGCAGGAGGAGGAGGAGGGGAGGGCGCAGCCTGACCCAGGAGCTGCCCGCTGCCCACATGCTGCCAGGTCTCAGGAAGCCAGGTCAGCTTGGGCCCCGCCAGAGGCTACTCTCTGCACCTGGAGAGTGGGGTTCTTTTTCTTCTTACCTTCCTCCCCTCAATTACTGTGCCCAGTGCTCAGCACGGTCAGACAGGGGAGGCAGTGAAGTCGGCAGCTGGCTATAAGAAAGGCCAATAAAATGGTGGCCTAGATGGTGGACGAACCTGGGAAATGGTAGGGGAGGCAGAGAAGGGACTTCCAGACTGCACCACACCCACAGAGACCCTGCCTCTCCTCCGGTGGCACCCACCGTCGCGACATTTTTGTAATTGCTTATGACACTTACATACTGCGGGGACCCTTAATAGATAAAAATTCATACTTTCCAAGGGACCCTTTTCTTTTTCCGGAGGCTGCAAGAACTCTCTTTACCTTGGACAAAGGGCCTCCCAGGACAGGGACTGTTCCTTTGTCAGACTGGGCCCTCTGAAGGCTGGGGCTGGTGTGCATGTCTCTGCCCTCAGACAGGAAGCTGTCCGAGCACAAGCTTTACCTGCTAGGTGTGCTGTGCAGAACAGTCAGGTCACGGTGGAGAAGCACTTTCTGACAGCACCCAGGATTAGTACCCATGGCTGGTCGAGGCTTACTGCTGGCAGGAACTTATAAACATGCTATTTGACTCATTAGGATTATTAAACACCAGGATGGAAATTAGAGTGAGCAGAGCAGACCTGACCCACTGAAGCCGAATCCGCCCTACGAGGAATGGGGTGTGTGTGTGGTTTCAGCCCCGACCCCCAACCCCTGCCAGCCCCCAAGAACCCAGGATGGACTGATAGGGCTGGACACACGCACTCTGAATCTCAGACTCACTCAGAGCTAGAGGATTTAATCTTCACTTTTAAATACAGGGTGAGGCTGGGATGCCAGCCCCAGTCCAGTCTCCATGGGGCCGAGATCTCTGCTCCCAAGAGTCTGGCAGCCTCTTGAGTCTGCTTGGGGATTGAGGTCAGTCACTCAGTTCCGTCCTTCCTTGTGGATGTGAAGAGGCCCCGTATGACAGGGAGTGAGTCAGTGCTGGGTGGGGGCCTGAGAGGCAGCCCCCATCTCCCTTCCAGCCCCCTCAATGAGCGATCCAATTGCAAAGAGCTCATCTCTATGGTTCAGACCATTGAGCTGGTCCCTTGAAGCCTCCGGAACAGCTGTGGGAGCCAAGAATCATTACTCCAGACAAAGAGTGGGCAGCAGACTCCATATGCAGCCTATTACAGAGCTGGCCTTGGGGGCCGGGAGCAGTGTCACGCACAGAGCAGGGGAAGGGCTGCGGGGGATGCATCCAGGGTGCTGGCCGTGGGGCTTCCCTGGATCTCTCAGGGGTTCATGAGAGATAGGGGCGGTGGTGCAGGGGCTGGGGACCGGGACGGGATCCGCCACCTGCTCTCACTGGCTGTGACACAGCTTCTCCATGTCTGGGCCCTGACCTAATCAGCTCCGCAGAAGTGCCAGGCTAAGCTAGACTGTCTGAGTCTGTATTTCTTCTGCTTAAGTGGGGAGTGGCTGATAGCTGTCGCCTCCTTCACTTTTGTCAAATGGAGAGGGAGCGGGAGGGAGGGGACGAGGACTGGAGACTGGAGAACCCGGGGTGGGGTCTGATGGGGGCCAATCTGCTGCACCTGGGGCCATGATTTGACCAACTCCACCAGCTTGGTGTGCCAAGCCCCAGGGGCAATCCACTTACCGCACTCAGGAAGGGGATGTCGAAGGTGGTTCCCAGAAAGCCAAACACCATGGGGAAAAAGCCCCTAGAAGTGGGGGGGGGGGCAGTCAGTAATGGCCCAGGAGGGGGGCGGGGAGGTAGTGAGGCTGAGGTCCACCCACTAGGAAGGCTCTAGCTCTGGCTCCCAGGAGAGCAGGCCCCTGGGCCCTGGGGGCAGGCTTGGTTCATTCAGCACCCCCTTTTTTGAGAGAGCAAAGTGTTAAGAACGAGGTCCCTGGGGCTAGACTCCTCGTGTTCAAATCTTGGCCCTTCTGCCTACACTTGGGCAACTCCTTCGCCTCTCTGAACCTGTTTCCATCTGTCACATGGGGTTAGAACTGTGTACAAAGTGCTATTTATGTTATTACTCTCCTTATTATTACTCTGGCCTGATGCCTTTCCCTCCTCCCTGGATCGGGTGTGGGGCACCTGCTCCAGGTTTGCTGGCACCTGGGCACTGAGTCATTGGAGGCCGTGCTCCCATTGCCACTGCCTTGGGCCTCTACATCCCCCTGCACAGTGCCACCTTTACCCTTGGTGTCCCAGGCCTGATCTGGGATTTACAATTTACTACGTGTGACCCTTCCCAGGGCAGTGAGTCTGGCTGGGGGAGGAGATTAGAGATTTGACTTCTGACAGCCACTGTGCATTGGGCCTCAGCTTGCGGAGGGTGACGAGGATCTGCACTCACTTGAAGAGGCTAAAGAAGCCATAGGATTCCAGGAACATGCCCAGCAGGGGCCAGCGCAGGAGCACAATGACCACACCCCCCAGGAAGAAGCTGGTCCCCTTGAGCTTGTGCCGCTGGAAGAAGAAGGAAAACGTCCTCCTCAGCCCGATGATGAAGGAGAGGCCACTCAGGAACAGCAGCTGTGGGGCAGGAAGAGGGAGGAGCCTGAGGACAAGCACGGGGCCCAGGAGGATTCGGGGGCTGGGACATGGAGCCACTCAGGCAGGGCGGGACCATGTGGCAGCGGTGTGGCAGAATCCCAGACCCTGGAGTACTCCAGCCAGTTAGGAATAGAACTGCCCAGAGAAGCAGGGGATGGACAAGGAGGACCCTGGAGATCTCCAGTTCCCAGCCACGTCCTTGGGTGCCAAATACCTCCTCATATGTGACTTCACTTCTCATTGTGCCTCCCAGGGAAGATGGGATGCTTAGTGGGATCCTCTTTACAGAGCTTTGAAGACTCAGTCCTAAATAGGTTAGGGAATCCTACCCAAAGTCACCTGGAACCTTCTGGAGTCCAGTGTCTACAAAATATATGCCAGGTCCAGACACTGTCTAAAGGTCCCTTGTGGGTGCTGAGGGCCCATCAGATGTAACCCTCTGGCTTTCTTCTAGTATATTCTGTGCCTTCCCTCCCCTTTCACCACCTTTTCTCTTGCTGTTCATCCACCCCCACACGCATTTCCTCTCCCAAGTCCCTTCCTCTTCCTCTTTTTGCAAGCCTCTTGTTTCACAGTAAATATGTTCATCTTCGTGTGGCTTCTCCTCTGCCATGGCTGTCCTCCCCAGCCACGAAGGTACACATTATAATCCGTATTCCTAGATGCTGGGGTTCATTGTAGAACCCCTAAGACCTCACCCAGAGCTTGGCATAAGAATTCAGGTCCTCAGTTTCTCTGGGCCTGGCCAGCCCTGCTATCCATCCCCAGGGACCCTCATCTGTCCCAGTTGGATGATATCTGAACCCTGTATGGGGCGTGACATGAACGAACTTAGGGTTGACCCTCCTGATGACAGAGACCTCAGGGGGTTGGGGAAGGAGAGGTACAGAGGACCGGGGGACTCACGTTTCCAAAAGCCAGGAGCACCGAATCAAAGTACAGGAGTATTCCAAAGAGGATGAAGAAGATGCCGAAGCCGGTGATGCCCACGCCAAGCTCTGCAATGGGCAAGGAGGTGGTGGAGGATTGGACTTTGGGGATCAGGTGAGACCCTGACACTTTCCCATCACCACAGAACAGGTGCCTGCTAGGGGCGGCTCCATTTCCACCCAGGGATCTCAGCTTCGGTGGGGTCTGGGGAGGGAAGGGTGGGCAGGGGAAGGAAGATGGGCATGAAGTGTGTTTCATGGGAACTGTGCCAGTCACCTCCTCACACCATGGTCATGAGGAAGCCCGTGCCACCTGCACTACTTTGAAGTTTCAGCTTCCTCCTGTCCTCCGGTGCTAACATAAGCAGATCATTTTCAGGATCAGGTCCCTGGCTGAACACAAACATCTGCCTACTGTTTCTGGGCCCAAGCAGCCAAGACCTGGAGCCACCCCTAGGGGGCAGGAGTGTGCCACAGTAAGCGCATGACCACCAGCCCCAGAGCCTCCAAGCTGTCCGGCTGGGTTTCTCAAGAGGCTGACACCATCTCTCCCAACAACACATAGTCTCCTTTCTCCTCAAAACACCCCAGACCCTGCTCTCAAGTGTTGGCCTCTCACCCAGCTGCGAAAACGGAAGTCATCAGCCAGGAATGTGCTGATTTTCCTACCTGGGAACCTACGTTCAGGCCCCTGCTTTGCTTCTCCTCCGGCTGCCTCAGTAGCACCGGGCGAGCCCACCTTGGATTTCAGTCTAGTGCAGTGGAGCAGCTCTGGCCAGCAGGGTCCCCCACCCCCACGCCCACCTGTTGGCAGTGTGCCTCAGGGCCGCCTCTGAAGCTCAGGAGTCTGCTCAGAGCCAGAGAGCAGGCACCCTGTTTGGTCGCTCTGGACATTGACACAGATTTTAGATCAACTCCCTTCCAGAAGAGATGTGCCAGTCACAGGATCTCGGGTTCCTTTGCCTTAAACTGTCTCCATCACACAAAATTGTGCTCATCTTTGCCACTATGATAGTCAACAAGTGACCATTCACTGTGTTGTTTCGTTTTTAAAATTAAATTAAAAGTTTAAATTCTAAATTGTGGGAAAGCACATGTAATGTAAAATTTACCATCTTAACCATTTTTTGGTGCACAGTTCTGTGGTATAGAGGTACCCCATCGCCACCATCCACCTCCGGGACTCTTTATCTTGCAAAACTGAATCTCTGTACTCATTAAATCTACCAACTCCCTATTCTTCCTCACTTCCAACTACAGTTCTACTTGGTCTCTATGAATCTCTCTCTCTCTCTCTCTCTCTCTCTCTCTCTCTCTCTCTGTACCAGGGATTGAACCCAGGGACACTTAACTACTGAGCCACATCCCCAGCCCCCCATTTTTTTCTATTTTCTTTAGAGACAGGATCTTGCTAAGTTGCTGAGGCTGGATTTGAACTCGTGAGCCTCCTGCCTCAGTCTCCTGAGCTGGTGGTGTCTCTATGAATTTGACTGCCTTAGCAACCTCAGCGAGGTGGACTCATTCAACATTTGTCCTCTTGGGACTAGTTATTGCATTTATTATAATATTCTCAAGCCTCCTTCCTGTTGTGCCATGTGTCAGAATTTCCTTCCTTTTTAAGGCTGAATAATATTCCATGTGTGAAAATACCACATTTTATTGATCCATTCATCTGTTGATGAACATCTGGGTTATTTCCATCTTTTGGCCTTAGTGAATCATGCTGCTACAAATACAAGCATAAAAAATAACTCCTGTGGCTCAAGCGGTAGCGCGCTCGCCTGGCATGCGTGCGGCCCGGGTTCGATCCTCAGCACCACATACAAACAAAGATGTTGTGTCCGCCGAAAACTAAAAAAATAAATGTTAAAAAAACTCTCTCTCTCTCTCTCTCTTAAAAAAAAAGAGTCCAATAGGGACTTTTGAAAAAAAAATTTAAAAAAAACTCTTCAAGACCCTGCTTTAATACCCAGCAATATTACCCACAAGTAGAATTGCTGTATCATTTTTTTAAAAAACTGCCATGTTATTTTCCAAAAGTGGGTGCACCGTTTGACATTCCCATCAGCAGTGCACAAGGGTTCCAGTTTCTCCACATCCTCACCAACACTTCATTTCCTGTTTTCTTTTCTTTTTTTTTTTTTGTTTAGTTTTAGTTTTTTATTG